GGGGGAGACTACTTAAATCTTGGATTTCCTCCTTGGATGCTTACTGTTGTTCCGTAAGTCCTGCATAAGTGAATTCTTAAAAGCTTGTGGATTAGGGTAGGGGGAAAAACTCCAAGCAGAGAAAACTCACAGTGGTTTCCTCTGCAGTACATGCACACACAAAAGAATATACCCAGAATTTCACCGGTAACACCTTTTTAATAGGTCAAAGTAACTGTACAGTTCATTATATTCTTCCTGAGAATAATTTATATCCCTCAACAGCAAAAAGGGAGTGTGTTTTTTATTTTAACAGAACAGATGGCATAACTGGAAAACCAAGGAAAATCTAATTACACTGCTCTACCGTAACTCCTCCCAGGCAAGATAGACAAAAGGATGGGTTAGTTAACTACAGTGGGTTTAAAATATTCAACATGGCTTTAATCTGTCTTTATAAATTATATAAAAAAATGGGGGACATGAATGGTTACAGAACTCCTCTAAATGCAGCTCTGAATTGCTCTGGTACAAAGCAGCATTTTTGCTTCCAAGGAAAACAACATTGCTACAAAAGAACTGGCACGTTATTCTGGTGGAAAAGATGAGAGTTTTCAGTTGTGTTCTACAGCTAGTTCCAAACAAATGCTTCACACATTCACATAAAAGTAAAAGGCAGGAAGATGAAGAGGGCTTTAGTTTTGTCTTGAAATGACTGAAGTCTTGAAAATATAGCTTTTTATTCTTTCTCTGTAAATCGTGATTAGCATATTGCGACGTAAGTGTTCTAATAAAAAAATTCCAGTCTGGATAGTTCATATACTGTGGGCAAGAATTCTCAGCCCTGAGGTTTCCCCGAATTCTTCACTTCACAATATCTTTCTCTGATCTGCTGCTCGGACAGTTCTGGCTCTGAGACTGTAACCCTGTGGCAGCTCTAGGCTAAGCGTGTCCCATGCGATGGTATAAAACCAAAGCGCGCTCCATAGCCGTGATTTCCCGAGGACTTCTGTACAAACTTCATTGTGTGATAATGCCACTTTCTGAATCCCAGACCAGCTTGGCTTTATGATAAAAACTTGGTTAAGCTTTTGTAATGAGAGAGAACCAACAGCTGTCAGTCAGGTCTGCTGAAGCAAGAGGCGCTGGAAAGCCAGGACTACACTGGGTTAATCCTCACTGCTGGTGGAAGGTGAAATAACATCCTTTCGCAAGCAGAATTCTTAGGCTGATGAAGCTCTTCCCTCAGTACTTAGTGTGGTCTGGACTGACTGATCATTTTCAGTCTGGCTTGATCAATAACATCCAGCAAGTTTTTGGCATCCACAGCCAGAGCGTGAGCAGCCGTCAGCATTTGCTTTTTGTACTCCTGCTGCAGGCTGGTCATGACATACTGCTGTGCCAGTTTCATCTTGTTAATGAGCTCGGCCAAGTCCGAGTTCAGCAGCTTCTGTGCCATCTCAATCTGGAACAAGAAGATTCAGTCAACTCTGTAAGTCGTTAGAAGCACTGCGCTCGTGACAGCGATACTACAGAGCAACGGCACTAGCCACCCTCAGCAGCCCCTGCCTGAGATTTCTGATTGAGGTTGGGGCCGTTTCTGTGGACCCCACGTGGAGCTGATGGAATTTTGGCACCTGCCACTCTACGCTGTGTGGAGATCAAGAGCAGCCTTGTCAGCTGCTGAGCCGCCCACATGTAAACAGCACCGAGACCCAAATCACTGGTAATGCATTTTAACCCAGGTCTAAGAATTCACACCTTTTTCTAGGTTTCCAGGTCCCTATTATCATCACCCTTTTTATTACTATTATTAAAGTAGCTCTAAAGCAGTAAAAAATAAAACGGGTCGAGAAGCCGGATACAGGTTACTTAACATAGCTAAAGTCAGGATGATTCTCCAAGATGGCACTTAAAGAGCCATTCTCTGGCTTTCTCATTATCGCACTCATTCAAGGTTTTGGAGGAAAACAGTTTTACTCATGAACTTCACTGAAAGATCTCAGTCACTTCTCATCCAGAACTAGGTTATTACGGGACATCTCATCAAAACCTTCCAGCTGCACCAAGCTATGCTCAATTACCTGTTTAATGACTTTGCGTGCGAGCTGTAGTTTAATGAAGGATTAAACTTGCACTAAGAAGTGCCGTGTAAGCACTAACAGTTTTTATGTCAACTTCACATGTGTGCATCGTATGCTCTTCAATTACATCCAGTTCGAGTGTCTTCACTTAAGTCAATACAAGCCTACGTCAACACAGCAATCAGATTCTAATAAAATTAATTTCATGAAGAATTATAACCCAAGAGTTCACACTGCTTAGTGAGCCAAATCATGTCCAGATAGCTGTCCTGGCTGGGGCTAACTTGAAACATAATAGACTGAGCATCAGGTGAGGGGAGCTCTACATACCTCTCTGTGGGTGCTTGCAGGAAGCACGGGGAGGGTCTCATCTACTGTTGCCAGTAAGGTTCTTAATGCCAAACCAACCTCCTAAGAAAAAAAAAATAAATTCAGAAAATAAAGTTTAACAACTTGCAGTGAATGGATGAGAGACTTGTAGCCGGAGTGCAGGAAGCAACCGATACACTTAATCCCTCATCTGGGTAAGAAGGGAGTTAGAACAGGGCTGAGGGACTTTGAAAACCCCACTTGCAATTCCATGTTTCACCATCAAAACGAAGTGCCAAAGGGTTAATTAAAAAAAAAGGTCTTTTTAAAAAGTGAAATGTAGAGAAGATAGTGCACAACTCGCTGCCCCTGGATAAGCACAGGCAAGCTGGGGAATAAAAGCACCGTTTCCCACAATACTGTTAACAGTATCCAATGCTCCAGCACTCTGACCACAAGTTACCCCCCCCTGCACACAAAAAAAGCTTTTCTAATTCCAATGTTCCAGAAAGTTTCTCCTGCGCCACTTGAAAACCTCATTCAGGAGATAACTAAAACACTGATTTTAGGAATCGCCTCCATACCTTCACCATGGGTACATACTCCTCTGGTGGAGCTGGCTGTATTTTACTGGACATTTCTATGACCGCTTTCACCAGCCCAGTTACATTCTCGTAGACTTTGTCATTGGAGCGGTCCAGGTTGGCCGTAGGAGGAGGGCTGATTTCCTGCGGCTGAATCTGGAAGCAGAGAGGGGTTGTTTAACCTCCTGTGCCCAGCAGATGGGGCTCAGCAACTTCCCAACCGCCAGGAAGGTCTCATATTTGCAACAGCCCCCCACCCGGTCCCGCTGGGTCCCCTGTCCTGACTGAGCATGCTCGCTCCTGGATCTGAAGGAAGTTTCCTTTAGTTCTTCTGACTGAACCTGATCTGTGAAATGACACTGGGGAATTTTTACCAGGATTTCCCTGAAGAGCTTCCAGTACTTCCCACAACAGAGAAGAAAATAATTTGAGGAACGAGGAGTACAGAGTACTTGACATGTCTAAGTGGTTCACTACTGATGGACAAGTTCCACTGCTAAGGCAACAGGTTTCAGGTCCCTCGTTCCAGAAAGTTGTTTTGTGCTCCAAAACAATGTCAGAATACACAGTTAACATACTGATACGGTAAAGAGAGAATATTATTGTTTTGTTAGTGAAAATTCACAGCAGATGAACAAAAATGGTGTCACCAGTACAGGTGGGAAACACCAAATGTTTTCATACAGTTTGTTTCCAATAGATCAGAAAAAAAACAATAGGATAAAAATCCTGTAGTCCTTACTCAAGCAAAACTTCCACTGAGTCAGATCTGTCCAGAGTTAAATCCCAAGACAGACCGAAATAATCCTGGGTCAGAAAAGAAACAACCTTTGAAAACTTCCTCTGTAAGATCCCCAGTATCTCTGCTCCTGAACTGT